TGGGCTTCGTAGGACAGTGAGGGGGACACAAATGGCGACAGCGGGGCCACGAAGGGCACGCACATGGGGCCACAACGGGCGCGACTCCTGGGTGCCTGGGTGTCGGGAGCGCGGCGCTTGGGCAAATTGCAGGACATTTCAACGCAAGGCCATTCTTCAGTAAATTGCAAGCAGGTCTCCAGCGAGAGCGCGACTCCAGAGCGCCGGGAGAGCGATTTCTGAATAAATTTTCAGGAAATCCCAAGCGAGAGCGCGATTCCTGAATAAAATGCAAAGAAGTCTCGGGCGGGAGCGGGGGTCCTGGCTACAGTGTAAGGAAGTCTAAAGCGGGAACCGTTGTTGTTGTAACCCGGGGGCCAGGGGCCCAGTTTGAGCAGGAAGACTCTCCCTATCAAAAAGCAGGGTGCGAGCGTCGAGGGGCACACTTTGATTAAGAAAAAACAGTATGCACCGGTGGGGGGATCAACAAGAATTATTCTTCAGAAATGAGAATTCAACAGCAACAACAACAGCAACAGCAACAGCAACAACAACAACAAACACAACAACAACAACAACAACAACAACAACAACAACACCAACAGCAATAGCAACAGCAACAGCAACAGCAACAGCAGCAGCAACAACAACAGCAACAACAGCTTCAACAGCAACAGCAGCAATAGCAGCAACAACATAACGAGTATAATCCTCAGCACGGATTCCCACTTCAGCCACCCACCCAGGGACAATGAATGACCGTTCGGCCCCCTCACTCTGATATACAAGACTGCATTGGCGCTTCGCGCCATGCACCTAGGTCCTTTAGGCTTTGCATATGTTGGCGTACGCGCCATCCCTAGTGGCCGTGGAAATTTGACCCCTGCGCTGCGGTGGTTTGCAGAAGTCTTCGAAAGTTCGGGCGGTCCCTGGCCCTTCCAGGGCTTCCAGGGCCCCCCGAAAAGGCGCTGGGTGGAGGGCGAAGGATCGGGGGGGGAGTGTCGGGGAGCGAGGGAGGGCAGCTGATGTGGGGCAGGACGAGTGGTGGAGCGGCAGAAATATGAGGAAAAGGAGGAGGAGGAGGAGGAGGAGGAGGAGGAGGAGGAGGAGGAGGAGGAGGAGGAGCAGGGGGAGGCAATGTCACGCAAACCGACTCAATGCTAAACAATGTTGCAAAGTACAAAGCATTGCCAAGCCGAGGATGTCATGTTGCAGCGGGTCGCAACGGGGTGCCGCGCACGTGAGTAATTCGCAAGTAATGGACCGAATTCCGGGTTCGCAACTGATTTTCGGGAAAGGTGATTGCGAACCCGAAAATCGGGTCAGTTTTAGGGACGATGCCGTGTGGGTTTTGTTGGAGCCCAGGCGGGCTGGCTTGGCGCCCTGTTGAGCCGTTTGGGGCCATCTTGGGCCGTGTTAGGGAGCTTGGGTCCTCTAGGGGCATTACGGGGGCTACGGAGGCCCTCCTGGTGGCCTCCCATGGCCTTTCTGGGGCCCCCCCGTGCCTTCTTTGGCTTCTCTTGGGCACCGTCTGAGGGCCTCTTGGGTTTCTTTTTGGCTCCTTTGGGGCTTCTTTGGGCAGTATTGGGGTGCGTAGGCCTTCCTGGTGGTTCAGTCATATTCGAACACTCCACGCGGACTCACACTCGGACTTCTCATACCCGGACTCACGTACATTCTGTTCGCTCATACTCGGACACTCCACGCGGACTCCATTCTTAGACTCATTCACACTCAGACTCCCTCACCCCAAGGGGGGGGCGCCAGGGAGTGTTATACTCGCCCGTTCGCGGCTGGATCGTGGGGATGTCCCAGGCGGTTTGCTCGTTTCGTGGCTGGGACTCTTATGATGTCAGAGCGGAATGTGAGGATGTCCTGCGCAAGACGCCCGCTTTAGCACCCCAAGGGGGAGCCGCCAGGGGTTGTCGCAGTGGTCTTCGGCCGCACGGGTTGCGGGCAGTCGGCGGCCCACCGCCGACAGCTGTGCTGGTGTGCGTCCGCCAGCCCCCCCCCCTCCCTCCCCCCACCCCGTCCTCCCGCTCATTACCCCCTGTCTCCCCCGACCCTCCTCGTTCCCTGCACCCCTTCCCACCTCCCCTCACGTGTCGCCATTGCCGCCTGCGCTTCAGTGCGCCGCGAGTTGCCATACCAGCTCTCATGCGCCCCGGCCGCGCGGCCCTCGAAGGGCGGCACATGTCAGGCTGCGCTCAAGAAGCGCCGCCAGCGCAGGGTATTGACTCTGCCTGCTATGCCCAAGGGGCATGAATTCTTTACGCTTCGCGTATCCCCACCCGCACATTCAGAAAACGCTGCCCATGAGAGCTGACGGGACATGTGAGGAGGACACATGTAGTGAGTCACAGCGGGCGAGCATGCGGAGGCAGATGAGAGGGGAGGAGGATGAGGAGGAGGAGGAGGAGGAGGAGAACCGTAGCCATTTTGGCTCAAGCCATTTTGGCTCAAGTAAAACATTTATCGAGTTGCTGCAGAGAGCCCCACGACTGGCGTGGAGCTCGGCCCGCGACACAAGGGCGAAGCGCCAGTCTTCCTTTTCAGTGAGCTCCTGGAGGAGCCATAGCAGTTCGGTAACATACCCGCATCTCCTTTTCAGTCCCACTCACATGACCACATGGGCATGCGATCGATGCTTCAGAACAGTCAAGGGCTATCATCGTTTCTGCCTATGTGGAATGGAGAGGCCACAGAACAGTTGGTACCCGATGCAGAAAGGCAAGGGCAAGTCCAGGAACACAGGCAAGGGCAAGGCTTGGGACTACGGCAAGGGTGTGCCTCGCTCAAGCTCGGCGCACAGACATCCACCGAGGTCCCAGAGTGCGTCGAGAAAGGAGCAGATGCACTTGCAAGTCAACAAGTCCATTGTCCAGAAGGTACTTTCAAAAACTCCCATGGCCACGCCCACCCAAGCAAAACAACATCCCAAATGGCAAGCTCCTCCCAGTTCCGACGACCCGCTCGAAGTTGGCAAGTTCAGGAAGGAAGCGTTCGAGAAGATACACAGTCTATGCCTCATGGCATATGCTGCAGGTCAGGCGGGCACGGACCACCAGGACGTCAAGACAACGATCGGTGTTCTCACGTCCGCAGTCTCCTTGCTCAAGCCTCTTGCTCTCCAGCTCCAGAACGCCACCACGCGCAAGGAATTGTTAGAGGAGAGGCTGGAGGCCAGCAGTATCAATATCGACGACCTCATCCACCAGCAGAACACCATGCAGGACGAGCTCGAGACGGTGCAGGAGCACATCGATTTCATCGACAGAGGCACCGAAGACGACAAGGCCATGAAAGACGCCCACATGCATCAAGCTCCTCGGCATCAGCCTCATCGTCAGGTCCCCGCGGTCACTCCAGGAGGACTAGTGGGGCCCTTCGGGCCGCAGCCGCCATCTCCGTTCTCATATTGTTCTGGACCTGCTGGGCCGCCATCTTCGACAGCACCTGTGGTCGACAGCTCTTTCGTTTTGCAGATGGCACAGGACATGGCGACGATGCAGCAGCAGTACCGGAATCTCGAGCGCGCTTTGGCAGACATCTCGACCGCGCTCATGGCAAAGCTCGGCAACCCAGACAAGAAGAAGCCAGTTCCTCCAAGTGCAACGGCCACGCCATCACAAGTGGCCGCGGCCTTGCAGTCCCACCCCACTCCGCAGGCTTCACAGGCGTCGCAGCTGACGCCAACTCCCCCTGCATCGGCTCCAGTTTTTCCCGCAGCCATCGAGGTGGAGAGCTCGCCACCACCGCCGTTGAGATCTCCGAGCGAGCCACCGCCGACTACGACAGCCTCAGCGATGCCAGCTCCTGCCACGCCCACGCCAACACAGATGTGGGGGGGACAGGTACCAGGCACACAAGTCGAATATTGGGAGGCGCCGTCACCGACTCAACCGATGCGGCGTTCCCAGCCATCGGAAGACATCCCAGGGCCGCCATCAGTCCAGTCACAGAGCAGCCGCGGGAACAGTCGAGGACGCATCCGAGGAAGCAGCAGAGGCCGGATGGCTACGACGAGGAGTACCTGGACGATCCCACGCTTGCCCAGCTCTAGAGTCGACCAGCGCTCGACCTACATGGGCCATGACAGGTCGCGGACGATGGCTACGTGACGGCGACTCTTCTCGTCGCCAGCGTGATTGAGCGGACGCTGATCCCCTTCCCCCGTCGTCCTCATGCGTGTTGTCTCCAGTGGCGGGGGCATCCGCGCCTCCAAGAGCTGGATCGGGCGACGTGCTTCCTCCTGCAGTGGGTCGACAAGCAGTAGGTAGGCAGGCCGCGCGCTCAGTCAAGAAAGTCTATTGTGTAGTTTCTGAAGTGATCTCTGTTCGCCAGCTTGATGCGCGGCTCCAGCGTAAGGCGTCTTTTGCCGAGGCGACGCAGAGTAACCAGCCAGTCAAGCCAGTTTTGAGAAGGCTGCGGGGCAAGCAGGCCGTAGGGCAATCCGCGTTGCCAGCTGCCCCCAACACCCGGAGCTTAATTCGAGGGCAGGGTGGGGAGTCAGGCGCCTCCGAGCAGGGGGGAAGCTCCGAGGCGCAAGACCCAGGGCTGACGCGCACAGGTGCTCGGCCCATGCATGCTTCTACCACTCCGACATCAAGGGGTAATAGTGATGTCCAGGTTCCTTCCGAGGTCACATCCGTCGGCCGCGACGCCCTGGATAAGTCTAGTCTTGACGACGCTCAAGGCGCTATCCAGCGGCATGACGAGTTGCAGCAGAGCGCGCGTGACATGGTCAAGTGCAGCTTCCCTGCTCCGCCGACGCTTCGGTCAGTCCTTCAGGAAGCGTGCGCGCAGGAGCTAGAACTGTTTCACTAGCAGGAGCTCGACGACTCGGGCCTTCTCGAGCCAGAGGCCGAGCTCGCCCTGGACACCTGCCCGCGCCGCGAGTGCGCTTTGCACAGCCTCCGCCTGTGCGCTGACGGCTCCCTCTACGCGTGAGGGGAAGGGAGGGGGGCATGGGCAGTAGTTATTGTAGCTAAGGATGAGAGGGGATTATCCTTACAGGGGAT